ATGATGACATTAATACCGAATAATCTAAATAATCTGCATCTCGTACCCAACCCAATTTCAAAAGTTCTCCTTAAGAAAAGGAAACCGGAAGAATCCGAAGTTCCACAGAAGAGTATTACCACTAAAAGGTCGAAGTATGCACACGAAAGAATAGATGATGAGAGAAGAAGGGTATTAGATAAGGCTAATAAAATTCTTCGGGTAAATATTTATACAATATAATTATAATGTTTTATTGTTATTTATATTAAAAGATAAGAAATTTATAATTTACTTTATTTTGAAGCCTTTGTTTAATGCAACAAAAAATAAGGTGAAATTTGATATGCCGCCTCCAATTTCAAAAGTTCTCATTAAGAAAAGGGAAGGGGGGAAAGGCAAAGGTGTAGAGTATAATGAGAAGAAAAAGGTTTTGGAGGAAGTAAATGAAATACTTCGAGTAAGTATATATAATTTATTTAATCGTTATTATATTTAAATAAAAATGTAGTAATTTATATTTATTTATTTTTTAAGCCTCTGATGGAAGTAAAAAATGCGATAGATTCGATGGAAGTGGAGGAACTTAGAATCCCACGAATCTCATCGATCCCAATTAAGAAGCGAAACTAAAGAGTCATTTTTTATTTTATTTTTAAATCTACACCTAATTTTCGTTTAAATTTTTTTTGATTTTATGATTTAATTTGTTTCTATTTATATGTTCTTAAATATTTCTTATTTTAATAAATATTCTATAAAATGTAATTGTCATGACATCATGGATCTTGATCCTTTGATAGAAACTCTAAAAATAATTATAATACTTGCATAATTCGTTCAATTTTTATGAATTCTTATGTCAACGTTGAGAAACTTAATTGGTTAGTTTTTGGTTATTTTACTTTTGGTTGAGAATTAACTTATGACAGTCAAAATAATCAGAGATTTAAAAATTTATATGTGACAATTTTGAAGTCTCATAAGAGAGTTGATTTTTTTCTAATGCAATATTCGATATGCCATGTACTAATTTCGTTCGGCAGTATTTAAGATTCGGCTAGCTGTATATATAAATCTAGCATCCTGGAGGCAATCTAATTATAATGAAAATAAAAAAGAAATCACAAAAATCTATCTTTCTATGTGAAAGGCATTTTAATAAAAAACAATATTTTATTGAAAATATGAACAGGACAACATGGACAATTGAACAGCACAACAGCAAAATATGAATCTAAAAAAAAAATAACAATCCACCAAAAAACAAAAATATGTAAGAAAAATCTGCACATCTGTTTTTCTTTTCTTTTTTTTAAAAATTATACATTTATTATGTATGAATATGAATTACTCGATCATAAATTTACAAAATTAAAAATCATGATTCTAATAGAGATCCCATATGATTTTCAGACTAATGACTAATAAACGCAATAAACCTTAAAGTAATAAATATGATTTTAAAATATTTTTCCAAAACTAATAGTTTCAATTCGAGCTATAAAAACCGATAGAATGTAAATTAGAATAGGTAATTCAATTTAATAGTAGTTAATTAACTTAGAAGATAAATTGATGAGTATAAAGCCGAGTTTAAATAATAAAAAATAAAATAAGAATAATTACATTATTCTCCTAAAGCACAAAGCTTTAAATAGTTTCTTAACACTCTTAAATACTTCATAATTGATGGTTGAAAATCCACTTGATGAGTATACTAATAGATGCTCCAGAAACAACCAGCATCTAAAGTGAAATTAGGTTGCGACTATACATAACAAAATAACCGAAACAAGGACCTTGATCCTTTTTTGAAACATTAAAAAATGCATTCTTGTTTTTTTTTAATTATCCTTGTTTTCCTACCTTTATCAAAATTACTTTATCCCATGCCAATGGATTGTAATTCTATAGCCAAACTGATCTTGGTGGCAAAATAGTTGATTTTACTGGGCGACCAGGTGCTATTATACTAATTAAAATCTCCCAAAGTTGTTATTCATATTTTATTGTTAGGTTTAATTTTATATTTATCTCTAAAATCATCAAAATAAATCATCCTATGTAAATAATGGCATGTAGTAATCCACACTCATTTGACACAACGCCTATTTTGCACTTACAAAATTAAAAAAAATTTAACCTTATAACATATTAAATGACTCATATTCCTAACCGCAGAAAGTTGGAACACAATCACTTGCGTTGGAAATACCACTCAAAGAAACTATGCCCGAATCAATTATACCTGAAGTAATCAATCTATCACAATCTTAGGTATTTCTTTCTCATTTCACTGTCTTCATTTTTTGATGTCACGTAATAAGAAGATTATGAGGTAATATGAATCATTCAAAACTATTGGAACATTAATTAATGATGATTAATGATTAATAATAGTGATTATATTTTACAGTTAAGTAGATGGTATCTTATAAAATAAATCTTTTCTTATCTTACAAACAACAAATAAATATAATAAAAGTTTTATCTACCTTTTTCATTGAAAGAAGTGTTTTCAAATAATCAATTATCTACTTAATCTTGCGACAATTAATTATATAATTCTAATTTTTATTCTAAATTTATTTATTTATAAAAGTTTTTCTTTCGATTATTGAATTATATACATATATAAATATTTGATATTGTAATTTATTTATGTAATAATAAATTAAATGTTTGACATTATAAGGTTATGAAATGCTTTGTTGTATAAAGAAAACATTTAGTTTTTAATTTTTTTTCCTTTTGAAATTTTGAAATCGTGTAAAATACTAAAATACTTGCGAATTGATCAAAAATAATTCCGTGACGTGTTGTTTTTACGGTGTGATAAATGTTGGGTGACGAATATCTAAGTCCCTTAATAAGAATTGATATTTGAATGGGAGTGACACCAGGTGATAAATACATAACCCTATGCGATATCTGATCATGTGTCATCTGATGAACCAATCAATAACTAAGTACGTTACTTTATGGGTCATAACCCAGTCGTTATTGGATCATCAGGAATCACATGAACTAAATTTGACTATGTTGCTTATTTGCTTTTGATTTCCTCTTCACTTTATTTTTGCTATCTCTAACCACGCGAAGAAATATCCAATGCTTTAACAACTAAGTCCAAACCACCTTTGAAACCTCCAAAACAGCTAAAAGACTTTATCAAGATGGCAAAAACTAACGAAAATCATCCCAAGAATGGTATTGGATTGACTTAATGACCAAACTTGAGAAGTAAGTATTATGAATGGCGAAAGATTCGTGTGGAAATAAAATATTTTCTTTTAAAAAAAGAAGTATATAAAAATAAAATTTCGTCTTAGGAGATTAAAAATTTGTACAAAAAAATCATAGAATTTTAGTAAAACTCATGAAAAAATTAGAAAACCGAAATATTTCAGCAAAGGATTTTACAAACAAACGTTTTCTTTGTGAAAACTATGTTGTTTTTATTAAATAGAAGTTTCTTTACATTATTTTTTATCTAAAATGAAACATATTTTAATTGGTTAAATTTTTATTTTACTTTAATATCAATAAATTCCCTCTCAAAATTAATTTTGATCCACCTGCACCCATGGACGAAAAACAAAAGGTATTCACTAAAGTCAAAGCAGCTGAATACACCAATAAATACCGTCAAGACATTTATGGAATTGTGGAATATGTCCAACAAAAAAAAGAAGATTTAGTAAGGCAGATGTGGTAGTCATTACAACAGGTAAATCTTTATAAATAGCGCAATCTATACTATCTATAGAATTATAAACTAATTATTTTTATTACAGGAAGAAGATTAGATAAAAGATATTCATCTTATATTTCTTCCCCTTTAAATGATGGGTAAAGTTATTCAATCTTAATTATATAGATTTAATTTTCTTATTATTATTAGTAATCAATCAATATTTTATTTTTCATTTTCATTTATAATTGCTTTTTAATTTGCTAATTCTATTAATGAAAAGAAAGTCCGATAGGTAGCAGGAATGTTCAGTAAGGCTTACGGAAGTATAGGACAGTGATCTCCTAAAGCCAATACTAGCGTAAGTTTCATTTTTATAAATTTATTGTTTTTTTAAAAAAGATTATTTAATAAATTAATCTAATAAATTATTTAATTAAAGGTTAAGTTTAGATTAAGAATTGCGCTTTTCAATACAGGCATAAAAACTAAGCCTTACGATAATAATGAGTATGAAAAGCATGCTTCGGATCAAAAGGAGGAGATGGTGTAATGTAAGATTAGCGATGATGATTAACGCAATAATTAAATAATTAAATAATTCTCATAATTATTTGGTAAGATTCATGCTCTGGAAGATGACAACAATATTGATATTGTCAATGTTGATTGGGAACTTGACTCCGACTATACAGAAGCGAGGAAGATGGAACTTGACAGATGGGATTTTTATTTGAGAAGAAAATACCAAATTAGAGTATACCTTTTTTTTACGATTTTTTTTCTGGTTATTGCAATCAAATTTTCCTTGCTAATTTTTTTTCAGTAGAATATCGTCCACCTGTTGATCAAGACTAACAGACTCGGTTGACATTTTTATTTTATTTCTTATTTTTCTTAATCGTTATTGTTTTTTTTTTTTTATTTTCTTATTCTTCTTATTGTTATTGTTTTTTTTGTCTCGAAAATTTACTAAATTATTTTTATTTTTATTCTATTTTATTTTATTTTATTATTTTATTGATTTTGTTGTTGTTGTTCTGATGACCCGCACAGAAGTAAGCGAGGGTGGGAGCGTCTTCCTTAGAGGGTGTCCCAAGACAACTATTTGATTAAATACATTTATATAAAAATTTAAAAATTTATAAATTATTTTCGAAGATTAAGAATAATTTTTTATTATTGAATATAAATGATCGAACTACATTTGCCAAATTATTTTTTATTTTTTTATAATTTCTAAATTCGAACGTCCTTTTTTTTTGTCAATAGATTGTATATCTTTGTTTTTTATTTATAATGAGTCGAATGTTGTACAAGGTTAGTTATCATTTTTCTTATTCATTTCATTTACAAAGTCCCTTACGAATTTGTTTTTATTTTATTCCGTAGATGTTCACCAATAAATTTATTCCCAAGACCAAGCGTGTCGTGTTTCGAGAACTGTTTCACAACATGAAAATCTAATTGTTCAAAACGAATTCTATTAACTTTAGCGAAAAGGATATTATATGCGAGATTCTGAAAGGATTGATCACATTGTTAAAGGTGAGACTTATTTGAAAATAAAAAAGCATATATATTTGAAATTATCATTTTTTAGCAAAATTATCAGAATTATTAAGTTTTTTTTGTCAAAAAATTTTTTGAAATATCTTGAAAAGATCAAGTTGCTATGCAAGATAGAGAAAATGACAATTCTTTAATTTATGCTTTCATTTTACCACTGCACTGTTCCAATTTCAATTAATTGTGATCATTTAATAGAAGAATTTAAAGGTTCTGATAAAGATATCGACGTAAGTGTTTATTATTATTTTGCTCGATCGATGTTGACACTTTTTGTATTTTTTTTGAAAACGAAATATAGACAGCATAAAATAACAAATAAAGAATTTTTGGTTTGTACAACGCGAATAGATGTGGAATAGAATTTTGAGGCTTGGTAGGGTATTATTCATTAGGTTATTTTAGAGAATTGAGACACACCTGGAGAACTCATGCTTTTAATCGGTAAATAAAAGATTAATTCTACATCTAAGGTAATAATTGTGTTTAGTGTATTTAAAGAATTATAATATTTTATATTTATATTAACATAATCCTCTGATTAAAAAATAATAATAATAATAAATGAAAAATAAAAATAAATGGTTAGCCACAATATTAAGAATTAGTGTCGGATGATGATGTTATGATTCAATGGGAACTTAATTGGGGAACTAAATGAATGGACTAGACTAGTCCTAAAGATGTTCTTGTTTGCCACGAAGGATATTATTTCCGTTGTCACTACAGTTATTCTGGAGACATTAAATATTATTTCATTTATTGTAATATGCAATAAATAGGGAGGAACGGATCATATGGTTGAATATTTTGGACCCGGATCGAGAAATTATCTTATACAGTGATGTATTATGGAAACAGAGGTTAGTGATAACGATAACGTATAGTATTCATTCATAATGTTGCTTTTATCCTATATAACCTAGAATGTATTAATACTTATTAAAAAGTGGTCTTGGTATTGGCGTTTCGAAATTACAAATCAGATGCAGAAAGATTTATTTTGCTAGATATAATTTTTGTAAGAGAATTCATTCTTTTATTTTATTTTATTTTTAATTTTTTTTTGGGGGGGAATAACTTAACTTTTAATTAATAACATTCATTTTCGGCAAACCATGAATGTTGAATGTTGGTAGGCCCGTCAAAAGCAATTGCTTCATTACAGTATTTACATGACTGCACGCAGAATCGGAAAATTTGATGGACCCTAAATTAATAGGTGTCAATCTGCGTGGACAAAACAAACAGGATATATCCTAGAAAATCATGCGAACGTGGTGAATTTGCAGTGGTGGTAGGTTAGGGTTTTGTCTCTTCTTCAGTGCCATGTTTCAGGGATGCTTTTGCTCCTGCTTCAGTGATTTTTGGTTTAGGATTTGCATCTGCTTCACTGTCATACGTGTAGTAGTAGTAACAGGGGTTAGGGTTTGCTTACGCCTCAGTTTCACGTTTTATGTATTGTATTTCCGCTTCAGAGATGAAGGCAATAATGAATAAGCACAAAAGATGACAAGTTTTGAATTATTATTTTTTTGCTTAATTCGATATATAATGAGGGATCAAAGCTGGGGTTATACATTTTCGACAGATTGCTAAAGCAAAATGGAAACTTGCGACCAGATGTTTTCAAGTTCACAAATATCTTATCGAAATTATTATCTCTGTTGCAAACTTCGAATTTGGTCTTTCCCAATCACAACCATGTAATACCACAGAGGCTAAAATGGAGATTTTAAATACGTAAGTTGCTTTTCTAAATTTTTTTATATATTTTTAAATTTGTAAATATTTAATAATAATAAATAAAATCCTTTTCTATTAAGGCAAAATGAAATTGAAACTGATCCTCCTTTTGTCACGACTGAAGTTAATGGTTTTATTAACGATCTGTTGGAATTTTTCAATGATACACGCACGCAAAAAAAATCCCGAACTGTTCACTTAATTATGATCAAAAAATATACTTCATGAAACCATCTCATTATTGATTTACTAGCTTAATAACTCTTACTGGTAATCAAATGGCTTTTAAATTCTTTTAATTTAGCGGTCAATGAAATAATTGATACCTCTTCTTCTGATTCTTCATCCTTAAGGAAACTATGCAGTATCGGCAAAGAAAATGGAATTATCTCTCTTGCAAATATGGTCCATGTGTGGGAAAGGATACAAAAAAAAAACTTTTCAGATTTTATCATTAGCTTGCCGATGAAGGGTCTCTCTTATAGCTCTGAATACTGTAGCCTAATAGGTTTTGGTGTTGAAAAAATGAATAAAAAACATTTAAATTTTATTTGAACTTCAGCAGAAAAAGAAATCTTGTGGCACAATTTAATGTTGGCAAGTGTTATAATGACGGAACAAGAATAACCAAAGATAAGTTCAAGGTTCTTAATGGTTTATAAAATCTGCTCTTGCTGAAAATATTGATTCAATGTGCAATGTTGAATATAGTTATGAAAAGGGTATGGTCGTAGATAAAGATAGAAAAGGAAGCATTAAATTGGTATCTGAAGGCAGCTGAAAAAGAATTCAATATATCACAATAAAAATTGTTACGGAATTAATATAGATCATATTGGGAAATATTATTAAGGTATATTTAGGAATTATATGTATCTATACCATAAAAAATCATTCGGAATATTTGTCCAATAAAAATAAAGGTAATTTTTGATTTAAGGAAAATAGCGTACCATAAGTGAAAGCAGTTGAGTGGTATAAAAAAGTTAAAAAAAATTTTCATACCTATAGCCAATACGGAATTAAAAAAAGATATTGTGAAAGCTATATACGGGTTTGAATAAAGTAAAGGAAAATGAGAACACAGATGCAAATGAATTATTAGAAGAAATGAACCATTAATAAGATATAACAGCTAAAGATTTTTTTGACTAAATATATTTTCGAATGCATTGAAATTTTTATGATTTTATTTGCAATCAATATTATCATAGTTTTGATTTTGTATTAAAAACCAATATTTACAGCCATTTAAAAAATAACATATTCCTAATGAGATAAAGATGAATCTAAATTCTTACTCGATATTGAAACACCTATTTAAATATTCACTCACCGTAACATTCACCATTAGAAAGAATTTCCCGAATCTTCTAAACCATCCTTAACATCATCAGGCAAATGATATTCAGGACCAACATTCCATATCTTGATTGCATCCATCCAAGAATATCATTATTCTACAGTTTTCCATTAAGAAATGGGAAAACAACCATTGTTATATTATCACATTCCATCCTATACCGCAATCTCCACCATCTATAGTTAAGCATGATTCATTAAATCTCCACAAGCACTTTGGATAAATAAGTCGTTGAAATATTTTTACGAATGAAGCTAGTTACTTGTTGAGATGAAAGGTAATCTCATATTCCTATATAATAAATAAATAAATAAATGCATCAATAAATTAATGAATAAGAAATAAAATATTAATTTATATTTAATAATCTTTTCATTTGTTTATTTTTTTTATTATAAATTATTAAAAATTTACCGTCACAAGCCAATACTAAGAATTCAGTTTTTTCATCGATCACTTCTTTTAGCATCTTAAATAAGTAATTATTCATTGCAATACAAAATTTGTCTTTTTCTATATCCTGAAGTACAATTAAAGAACTAACCTGTATATTTAAGATGTTTATAGATAAATATATTTATTAAAAAAAAATTAGATCTTCAATAATAAAACCACCATTTATAAATACCATAAATATTAACTACTGATATTTCGTTTTGACCGTTTCAGCAGGTTCGGACATTTCTATTACCTAATCTGAAATAAAATAAAAATTTAGATCTTTGATATATATTTCACAAAAACTATCTATACTAATTATCGCATCATTAAATTATTATTCAAAAGTATTGTTTCGGCGTGGCGATATCGTATAAAAATTGAATAAAAATTTGGATCTTAAATATTAAAAACTACTATATTACTATAAATATTAACTACTAATATATCGTTTCGGCCATTTCAGCAGTTTCGGATATTTCTCTTGTGCAATCTAATAATAAAATATATGTTTCGCAGGTTCGGGTTGAAATAACGTTAATCTACACTATATTACATAATTTACTACTATAAAAAAATTTAGATCTTTGACTGGCATCACATTACATTACACAAAAAAATCATTGGATCTAAATTCATTACACAAGTCCGTGATATTTGACAAGTGATCGTTAGCTAATAATAATTATCAAAAAAAACGGTAGACATCCTACATTTTTGATATTTTGCCTAATAGTGCATCAAAAATGTAACTTTATCATCACCTTATGCTCCGCACAATAATTTATTTATTTATTTACTTGTATAAAAAGGTAAATTTATATTTTGAATAACAAGAAATTTTTTCACACCACAAACAACTAATGTTAAATTAATGCATAATAAATTCCTTCATTGTTTAAATTAAATATTATAAAATAAATAAGCTAATAATTAAACAGTCATTAAATTAATGAATAATTTTATGTATGGTTAAATCATTTTTGTATATTGTTAAATAATATTAAATAAATAGTATAATGTTTCATTTAATATTAAATCATCAATAAATTGATTTGATGTAACTTTTATTGAAATCTAGACAATACATACAACATGTGATAAGAAACAATTCATTATTCAATTAACATTTCAATTAATGAACCTATTAATGATTAAATGAAACTTTTATTATAATCAAACGACATAATTTTTTAGATGTAAATTAATTCTTAGAAATTTCCAACCATCGAAACCAATACTTTGAAATTTTATTAATAATGGAATCAATCTTTAGATAAAAATATTTTTAAATTTAATGAATTATTATATAATTATTACATACAATTATAATGTACATAATTATTACATATTTTCATATTGCTATCAATGAATTTTATCGATTTATATTTTTTTAGTCAATTAAGAAATATTATTTTGATTAAAGATTGCTTTTCTTTCCAATTTATATTTTTTCATACTAAAGCACATCTTCGATTACATGAACACAATTTGTAGTTCCGGTCGGGGTTGTGGTTCAGATTGGACTTGTGGTTCGGGTTGAGGTTCAAGCTCGGATTCAGGTTGTGGTTGTGGTTGTATCATTTTGTTTTTTCGTGGCCTTCCTCGGCTACGTTTTTGCTGTGGTGATGGTTGTTGAGCTTTAGGTTGAATGGGTTGAATATTTTTTCGTGGCCTTCCTCGACCGCGTTTTTGCTGTTGTTGCTTCTGTTGTGGTTGTTGTGGTTGTTGGGGTTGTTGGAGATGTTGATAATTTAATTTTTTTCTGTATTGGGCTCTTGTTAGAACCATTTTCAAAAAATGTATTCTTGTTTTTAAATTTATTTAAAAGTGTGAAGAGAAATAGATTGTTTTAGGTTTCGGTAAAAATTATTTCGTCTTGTTTAGATTTAATAGATCTTATAAGATTTTAAAATGAAAAAAAAAAAACAAAAAAAAATGTTTTTAAAAAAAATTAAAAAAAAATATTCGTTTTTTTTCAAAATTTATTAACTAATTTTCAAAATATACATTAAAATGTTTATTGTTTGTTTATTTGTTTACTTCAGATTTAATAAGGAAAATTTTAACATGTATTGTTCTTTTTAAAATAATAAAAAGTGATTGTTTTTTTCCAAAATAATCATAATAAATATAATAAAAATGTAAATAATACCATATTATGATTAGTGTACTTCTGATGTAATTACTGGTAATCATATTTATTTGATTACACAAAAAAAAACTTTTCATCGAAGTAGACACATAAATTTTTGTATAAGAATTCCCTAAAAATTAAATATTATGATTTGATTCGTCTTATCAAAAAAGGACTTGTAATAATTCATGAAGTAATATTATTATATTTATATATAATTTTTTGTGTTACGGAATATTAATAACGAAATTTTGTATTATCGGTACCATTAATTTTTCCAGAAATAACCAAAACTTTCGAAATTTTTTTTTTAAAAAAAACTCTAAAAATTTATCTTTGCTATTCATTTGAAGCATACCATACCATATTCTTTCTCTCCTAACACTTTCCTACAACAAATCGTGCAAACCTTACTTCTAATTAAAGATATTTATAGGTTATAAAAAAAACGTGTGATCCTATAAATTTCAAATTTAATTATCTTCTATTCAGTAGATTCAAATACCCAAAGATTTAACAATTAAGATTATTAGTACTATTATCTATATTAATTTTATTTTTATCAGATTGGTTATTGAATTTTATACAATGTGTACTGACAATTATTTAAATTTTTTATTGATAATTATTTGATTAGATAATTGTTAACATGATAGAGAAAATAAATATTGATATGATATTATTATATTTATGATATTATTGTAGTATCATGAAAATATTCAACCTATATTCGGAAAAATATGTAAATATCTTTCTGAAAATTTTTTTAAGAATCAGGAAAAAAAATATATAAAAAGAAACAAAATAATTTATTTCGAATTTTATACTTTTTTTCAACTCAATTTAAAAACAATAAAAGAAACTTTCATTCAAGATAATTATAATGAATGTAATAAACTGGCAAATTAATCAATTCAAACAACAGCAACAACAACAGCAACTGCAACAACAATCACGACAATAACAAATTCCACAACAATATGTTGTAAACGACTCATCTAACAACTCAATTTGCGGGCTATGTCTAGATACCAACAAGAAATTGAGACAGCTGTTGAGACGAATCATAAAAATTCATTGACAATACTAAAGTACTTGCAGCTGTAGTAATAGAAGTGAGGAGTCGTATCTAAGGTAAAGGAATCAAAGTCGTCGAAATTATTTTTCAAATTTTATTTTTTTAAAAAAAAAATGAATAAATAATAATAATGTAATTTTATTATAATTGAAGGAGCTGATAATAATAATGAAAAAAAAGATAATAATAATAATATCAAACAGCAAAAACTGCACAACAACAACTACGATATTTGCAATTCGACCAAATACCATAAAAATTTCGAATAAAAATTTCACAACAACAAAATGTTTTAAATTACTGGGTTTCGAAATTTTTGGCTACATCTGCTGAGCCAATTGTGATAACCCCTAATGTAACATTGAAATCGTGGAGGTATTTTCATATTTTTTTTAATAAAAATTATAAATTATGATCGAGGATAGTGACCCAGGAGATGCAAACGAAATAAGATGGCAAGTAAGTAACATTTATCAAGAATATTTATTATTTTATATTTTAATATAAATTTTCATTTTTACATTCGAGTTTTTGCTTAATTAAGTTGTGGTTGTTCCCGATTGAAATCTTTGCTATTTTTTTTTGTAAAATGGATATGAAATTTTATTCTTTCGTTTATATTTTTTAATATATTTTACCTAAATGAAATAATTATTTCTTGTGAATAATTGAAGAATTGAATTATGGTTTTAAATTAATTTTTTTTTTTATGGAAGTTATAATAAAATTTTAAACAAAATTCAGAATACTACAATGTTGGTCATATAAGTGCAATTAATAGTGAGGAATATTCAACTAAGCGAACAGTGAATAATTGGCCATTCTTTTAATTTTGTAAAAAATAGCTGGTAAGCTTAAAAGGGAAAAATTCCAGTTATTTAGGTTCATCAATCACTCAAAAATTATTTAATTTATTTCTTGTATTAAATAATTATCTTAACTTCATATCTTCATTTTAACCAACTGAAGGTATATTATTTTTCACCAGCACGGTTAAAATTTGTTATTTGATACTTTTCTTGTAAGTATGCTTACAAAGTATATTTATGAAATCTTGGTGTTGATATAAATTTTATGCAAATATTGTATTATTTAAAATTGAATGTTCAATTTTATTAATTTTATTTTAGTTCAATTTAAAGGGTATCACTCACCACCGGGAAAAATTACATAACTCTTTAACCCTAACTTTGCCCATGTAAATTTAATATTTTGCTCAGTGGTGACTGGTGAGCTTTAGCAATTTCCCAATTTAAATTACAATTCAAAACTGAAAATTAAACTTTTTGCATATAAAATTAGATAATATGTGCTAAATTATCTAATACTTTATATCTGCTGATGCAATCCCATGAAAAATATAAAACCCTACCCATCCTTATTTTGCAAAACCTACTAACTGTTTCCAAGATTAAAGGAGTACTAACAAAAAAATGAATAAAAATATAAAATAAGTTATAATAAAAAGTGTTATATGTATCGAATCATATGTTGAGTTCCGTGAAAGTTTCTAACATCACTTGAAAAACAATTTTTTGGTAATTTTATCAGACTTAAGAGATTAAATAGATTGAATTCATTGTATTGCCTCAACATTTAATACAATTCAAATTCCACTTCAATTAAAGTCATAAAGGATTTTTCATTAGATTAAATCTGATGTGTCCTTTCACCATCTATGGTCATTTAAATCATAGTTGCAAGTGAGATGGTTTCAATGTCTAAGAGATACTGCTAATCCTTATTTTGTTGATAATTATAAATAATTCAATTATTTTAATTATACTAATAATGCTCATAATACTGTGACAATGCAAATTGGTAAACATGTGAATTATCATGGGGGATAAATATTTGTGATACTAAGTGTAGCAAATCAAAAGATAATGTACAAGAATGAAGAATGATATACAAAGATGAAGGATGAAGTACAAAGGAATGATGGGTAAATGTAAATGAAAGTGAAAAAGTATAAAAGAAGTGCTTGTTAGAGACAAGAACAGTAGTTTTTTATATATTTTGAATATTAATATTATTAGATAGAAAAGTAATCTTCCTTCAGGAACAGTAAAATAGATATATATCGATTATAATATTTCTGTTATTGAATGATACTTTACTTTTAAATTGTAATCTTTATATTTTAATAAACTTATCTTTTGTATCACAATACTGTGAAATATTGTTAAATATTATTTGATACTGTGTTAATATTTTACTTTACCTTTCTCATTGTGGCTTCAGATTAAAAATAAAGAATTAAAGGATTATATTATATTCTATTATCTGTTTCAAGATAGGCAAGTTTGAATTGACAGATTACTTGACCTACAGGTAAATAGAGTGTATTATTGATTAAGTTCATGTGAAACAAACTTTGAAACTGATTTATGAAATTGTTTGTAGTACTCTGCACAGATGTGACAATGCCAATGTTTACATAGGTCAAATACAAAAGATATGCCATACTGAAGAGGAATTTTAATTTTAGCAGATTTATAATATAAGATGCAATAGGACAGTTAATTGTTACTGATTTTTAGCTAATTTATAGTATAGGAATTACCATTCAGTACAGTGACTCTTTTGTATTTGACTAGTGTCAATAGATAGTTAAAATTATAAGATAAGTCAAAATACCATAAGATAGTAAAGGAATTATATAAAATATCTATATTATTTATATATATATTTGTTCAGATATCATTTTTAAAGTACATTCATTATATCATAAATAAAATATATGATAGTATAAATTTGAAATTATATACAGAATATATTGTAGTGACACAAATTGGTAATCAGGTGAAATGTCACGGGGGATGATAATTAGTAGCACTAGATGAATATTCAGGTAATTGTTATCTCAGATGAGATGAACAGGCAAGGATAAAGTAAAAAGATGAAGAATGAAAGATGAAGGATGATGCACAAAGGATGAAGGTGAAGTACAGTGGGTGGTCAAAAGTCACCAGACAGTTGAACATTTTTAAAAAAATTACTAAATTTAAAATGCTAATTGTGTTATAACGAGTGATCTAAATTGCACAAACTTTTTTTTATTAGATTATTCTAAAGCAGAGCTATCATATAATATATTTTTTGTTAAAATTAAATGTCTACACGTAGAGAAATTATACTTCAAATAAAATTGACAAAAAATGATAAATTTAACATTTAATTGTTGTCCATATCAGAATCGATGGATTTTAAAGATAGATGTCAACTATCTTATATTGAATTGTAGCCAGAAACAATATCTATAATTTTAATTAGTAGAATTTTTTATAGTATTTATTGAAAATTTAGACTTTACTTAGACGTGAATAATTTATTTATTTATTTATTTATTTATTTATTTATTTATTTATTTTAGCAGACTGGCGTGATCTCATATAGTTTCCTTTAAGTATTACAAAGAATATGATGAAATTACATTAGCACATCTAATAATACGACTTAACCTAACACCATATAAAATTAGATTTTACAATTAGTAAGTTTCAACTGCTACAGTGCCACTAACATCTATTCTTAATAAATTGAAAATAAACTTAAAATTAAGGTATCTATCTGTAATGTATAATCTATTGCTATATTTAGAATATGATCCTTGGATCTTTCTATTTGATTTTTTTGTTTTTTATATTTTTTATTGTTTTTTTTCTTATTTTTTGTTTTTGTATTTGGGAATTCTTCAAATTTCTTTTTTATTTCTTTTTGTTCATTTGTTCCTTGAGTCTGGTTATTTCTTTTTAGTCACAATTTGTAAAGTTTTGCCATTGTGGTTTGATATATTTTGAGGACTTTTTCTTTGGCTGTTTTTCTATTTGATCTTGATATTGCTACTATTTGATCAATTAGTTATTTTGGTATAAGTCCTCTTATTATATCACTTAGGCTGAATTTTGATTTTTTGCTGTTTTCCATGTATTTATTCTATTCGGGTCAAAAGAATATAATTTGTTTTTTATTATTTTTTCTCTTATGAAATTTTTAAATTTATCATAGTTGATATTTAGTTTCTTAAGGTAGTTTTTAATCATGTTAATTCATATTTGTTTGAAATTTTCTTTATTAACTTGACACGTGAAAATGTGAAGTGTTGACTTTGTTTGTGTTTTATATTTTGAACAGTGTTATCCGTTTAAGCCTTCTACGATTTACAAAGACAATGGGATAAAATAATACTAAAACTAATAATAAAACTAAGTATAACTATAAGAATTACTAGTCTCACGATAAAATAATCACAATACAAGGGTTTATACATAGAAGGAATTATGTACGATCAATTATGAAAGAGGCGTATTTAACTATTAACAGTGGTATGAAGACTTGTTAATAGGAGCAAACGGTTTATCAATTATCAAAATGAATACAACAAACAGGGAACTCAAAGGATTTTGTAATATTAACTTTATTACTTAATAAATCCTAACTAATTCGAAAACTAAGAAACTGACTAGAAAACTGAAGACTGAGTTAAGGAAATTCTCAGCCTTTATATACATTATTATTTTAACTGCTAAGCTGACTTGTAATCTGACTGTAAACTTCACTAGTAACTATGCTAATATCCTGACTAGTACCTTAACTGTTAATTTAACTTGTACTTTGACTGAGATATTAACTCGTACTCTGGCTTGTACTCTAACTTTGTGTTCTAGTGTTACAGATTAACAAGAATTTAGGAATCTACTAATTTAAGTAATAATTTCTAATTTGTACTACAGACTATTAAATTGATCTACTGTAATACTATAATGATAAAATATATATAATAATTAATAATAAAATAATACAGATATGATAAAATAAGATAACAAAATATATAAACATATAAATAAATAATTAATAAATTTAAAAATAAAATAGAGATAACAATTCTCCCCAATTTAATCATAAAGTTCCATCTTATGATAACTCGAGATTGTCAACAAGGTCATTAAGATCGTTGTTGTATATTAACAACTCATTAAATGTAGAAACTTTCATTCTGGAAATAGCGTTGTAAGTCAAGGTTATGGTACAATACATTTGATTTGGGTTTTTCTCAAAAAGTTGATAAATTCTGGTGACTCCTCGATACAAATAGTAATGATTTGGAATTTGATTATCTTGAACAAATTCTTTCCATTTCGCTTTAGGAGTTACTGAAAATTGAACTAGTTCTCCTAGATAGTAACAGTATACCAAAGTCATGATTCTATTATGAGAATTCATGGCAGTTTGTAATTGTTGATATACATGTTGAGCAGAAGTTTCCCATGTTTGGTTTAGATTATAAGGTCTATCAATTTGTCTTACGGTGTAACTTCCAATTCTAATTAAATCTGAGTAATATTGTGACATTTTCTATAAGTTTAGGTTAATTAAATAGTATTTTGGAAAAAGGAAATCTCTCTGAGGGGCTGGTAGTTTTATAGAAAATAAGGTTACGCCGTTAACTTGTTTGGATGATATTAAGTTACTCAATTGTAATTTGTGGTACCCAAAAATTCCTATCATTGTATCGTTTCAATAGGGAACCATTAATTGGTACTTTTAGGACTTTTCCATCTAGGGTTCTCAATTTGTACACACCAGGATGTGGTACTGTATGAATATAATAAGGTCCTTTCCAGTTTGGTTCTAGTTTACCAGAATAATTTTTATCTTTTATTGCATTATACATTAAAACTTTGTCACCTATTTCATGTGTTATGATGATCTTAACTTTTTGGTCATGATAGCGTTTTTGTTTTTGTTGATTAACTTTGATTCTAGCTTTTGTACTCTCTTTCTCTTTTGGAAATTCATCCACTAGGTAGAATAGACGAGTTAACAGATTTTCTTCTGCATATTCAATTCCTTCTATGAGGGGCATGTGAACAGGTCTTCCGTAAACAAGATAAAAGGGTTCGATTTTGGTAGTAGTTTGTTTTGCTGTTCGGTAGGCAAACAGTACAGCAGGAATATTTATATCCTAATCGGTAACAGTTTCAGTGGAGCGAGCAAGTAATTCACATAAAGTTCTATTGAATCGTTCTACTAATCCATTTGTTTGCGGGTGATATGGTGTAAAGAATAAATGTTTAATATGAAAATGGGCTAATAAATTAGTTATCATATTGTTTCTAAAGTGAGTTCCTCGGTCAGACAGAATTATATGAAGGCAACCATATCGACAAATGATATCTTCAAAAATAAATTCAGCAACTTTACTTGCGGTTGCTTCACTAAGGGCTCGAGCTTCTGGCCATTTTGTCATATAGTCAGTAGCAACAACAATATAACGTTTATCTCTTGGAGTTTGGGGTAAAGGTCCAACAATATCGATTCCTATCTGATAAAAAGGGTCTCCTACTGGGATAGGTTGTAATAATTGTGTTTTCTTTTGTTTTCCTCTTCTTTGGCATGCATCACAGGATTGTATATAGGATTTAATATTGTCATACATCTGTGGCCAATAATACATGTTTCTAATTTTCTCAAAGACTGTATCAACACCTAAATGTCCTCCTAAGGGGTGGTTGTGCATCATGAAGATAACAGGTTCTACTTCATGGGGTTTTAATACTTTCAATAGTTTGTTGCGGGTTTTGTGTCTACGATCCTTTTTGTATAATATATTGTTTTGTGTTTGATAAAATCTACTTTTTAATTCTAATCTTCTTTTGGTTTTGTTATCGATTGTAGGTAAGTGTTGTTGGGATAAGTATTTTAAAAGGTATTGGTATTCTTGGGAATTCATGTTTAGATAAAATAAAAGTGTTTAAATAATTAATTAAAAGGTTTAAAAATTGAAGTGCCAGGACACCGACAATCTGAACTGATTTTAATTTAGCTTGGTCAGATTACTACTTTGTTGTTTTAATAATTTGATTATTAAATTTCATACATTCGGGATAAGGAGTCAGCATTGTAATGTTTTCTTCCCGGTCTGTGTAAAATAGTATAGTTATAGGGTTCTAATCTGAGGATCCAGCGAGCACGCTTTCCTCTTAATTCTGTGGTCCTTAGCCATTGTAAGGCAGAATGGTCAGTGACAATATAGAAATGTGCGGTTCCAAAATATTGACGAAAGTGTTCAACAGCCCACACTATGGCTAAACATTCCAATTCATTTGTGGAATAGTTTTGTTCAGCTTTATTTAAGCTTCTGCTTGCATAAGCGATGGCATATTTGTTTTTGCCTTCCTTTTGTGCTAGTACTGCACCTAATCTTGATCCGGATGCATCAGTGTGCAAGAAAAAGGGTTGGTTAAAATCAGGATGTCTTAAAATTGGCGTGGAAATTAATTTTTCTTTTAGAGTTTTAAGACTGTTATTATGCTTCAGCTCATTTGAATTTGTCATCTTTTTATAATAATTTGTTAAGTGGTTTAGCAATCTTGAAAAAGTTTTCAATAAATTTACGATAGATAGAGGCTAATCTTAAAAATTCTCTTAGTTAGCGTAAGTTATTGGGTCTATTAAAGTTTTTAACTTTAATAATCTTATCTTCATCAAGTATAATCCCTTTGTCAGAGATAACATGGCCTAAGAATTTAGTTTCCGACAAGAAAAATTGGCATTTATCTACATTAATTTTCAAATTTGCTTTTTGTAATGTATCAAAAATAGTAGCAAGATGTTTTAATGATTTTCAAATGTGTCAGAGTATATAGTCAAATTATCTAAGTATACTACTACAATTTTGCCAATATAGGGTCGCAAGGTTTTATCCATTAACCTTTGAAAAGTGGCAGGGCATTACATAAACCAAAAGGCATTACATTGAACTTATAGGTTTCCATTTGTGTAATGAAAGTGGTTTTCTTTTTATCTTCCTCTTTTACTGCAACTTGCCAATATCCACTGGCCAAGTCTAAACTTGTAAACCATTTAGCATCCTTAAAGGAATCAAGGATGTCATCAATAACTGGTAGAGGGTATACATCTTTTTCAGTTTCTTTGTTCAGTTTTCTGTAGTCAACACATAGTCGTTGTTTACCATTTTTCTTTGGTACTATTACTACAGGTGAGGACCAGGGACTTTGGGATTTTTAGATAATTCTTTTATCCAATATTGCAGTAATTTCTTGTTGTAGAAACTCTCTTTCACTAGGCGCAACTTGGTAGGCTCTTTGCTTGATTGGACTAGCATCACCGGTTTTAATTTCATGTACCACTTCAGTAGTTTGTCCCAATTCCAATGTCTGTCCTTCTTCTGAAACATTTTCAGCAAATATATTAGCATATTCTGCAAATATTTCGTCAACTTGTTGTCTCTAAGCTTCATTGAGCAAAGGTTGATCGACTTTAATTTCCTTGTGAGGATATTTAGTCAAATATAGAGCAAGATTAATATCTTCTTTTTCTTGAAACATATAATAATCTTCAAGAATATCATCAATAGTGCTTTCTTCAGAATAGTAATTTTCATATTCCTCTAACTCATCTTCTAACTCATATTCGAGTTCTTGTTGTACCTGATTATCATCCATTTCTTCTTCTTCTTCATGAATGATGTAGGGACTGGGAGTAACAGTATGGATTGTGTCAATGGTTACTGTTTTGTGGTTATAACAGACTGTTAGTATTCTGTTGGCAAAATTCCATTGGGCTTTGGTTTTGTCAAACCAATTGGTTCCTAATAATAAATTATCCTCAGTAGAATCAATCACTTGTAACTTCATTGGTATCCGTAAGTCCTGTATACCAATGTTTACATGATTAATCTGACCAAGAGCTCATTCTCGGGTGTCATTGGCTATAATTACTACTACTTTGGAAGGAACATCGATAGGGATTCCTAATTTCCTTCTTAATTTATCAGTTATGATACTAACTGTAGCTCTTGAATCTAGGACAGCTTTGATTGTATTTATACGTGTTGCCCAAATCCCAAATCATTTGGGATTTGGGATGCCAAAATTTCAAATTACTAGTATTTGGGATTTGGGATTTGGGATTTCGGCAAAAAATACTAATCATAATTTGAGATTTGGGATTTGGGATTTTGGCATTTGGGATTTCAGCATTTGGATTTTGAATTTGGGTGGCAGGTATAATTGTATTTCCTTTAATCTGGACATAACATTTTGCAGCGGTTGTTCATTTTTTCTCAGTTGCAACATGATTAATTTCTTTCACGATAGGTCTTTTCAAGATTTTAGAAAAGTTTCTTTTTTGTCTGGGTAATGTAACATTTGTCCAATAGTGGTATTAGCTTGCATGTTTAAAATATCTTTGGAAATGTCATAGTGTGACAGCTGGTCTATAACTGAAGGTTGAACGCGTAATTTTCGTCTTTCTAACAGGAGTAACGGTTACTGATTCTGGTATGGTAGTAGTGGAGGGTTCAATAACTATAGAATTATCATCAAAATTTGAACTCTGATAGATGGTTTCTTCACCTGGATTGGTTCTTTGTCTTTGTTGTTGTCCTCTCGTTTGGTGTATCTTATTACAGACCTGAGGTTTATTTCTAATTGCTTCATATAACTCATACTCACTGTCGTAATCATCAGTATAATATTCATTTTCGTTTTCGTTAATTTCAACCATGTTAACACCTTGGCAATTGTTATTTCGTCGAGGTGTTGATCAATTGTTATTGTTAAGGTTGTAATTATTGTTATTATAATTGTTGTTATTATAATTATGGTTATTATTGTTATTTCTTCGGTCTGCCAAACAGTTTCTGGATATGTGACCAGGTTCATTGCAATTGAAACAACAAGGTGCATCATTGTTTCTGTTATCACTTTGGAAACGGTTGTAGTTATTATTATTATTGTTATTAGTATAATTGTTGGGATTGTAGTTGTTTTTGGGAGGTCGATTTGATATTCTAGGGGTTTCTTGAGCAGCGAGTGCAGAAGTAAAGGTAGTATAATTAAGAGACATTTGTTGTAATTGTTTAGTAATTATATCAAGTTCAGTTTCTACATTTTGGCTGGAGAGTAAATTTCTATCTTCTCTTTTCTTGATATAGTATTTTCCTGTTTCGACTTTAGCTGCATTCTTCATGGCGTCAGACAAGATATTAGTATTTTCTAATACAACCAACATAACAATTTCTTCTTCCAAACCAGAAATATACATTCGAGTAGTATATTCTTCTGGAAGCACTTTTCAGGATCTACCTTGACCAGTAGACGTTTGAACCTTGCGGAGTATTCATCTACTCTCTCATCTTTTCCTTGTTTAATATTATATAATTCGTAATGCTATTTATTTTTATTTTCTAAGGTAGTAAAGCGTTTAAGGAAGAGGGGTTCAAAAGATCTGTCGGTATTGGTATTATGGCTCCAATAAGTAATAATGGTATCATTATACCATTGGGCTACAACTCCTTTAAGATAGGCAGCAGCTATTTGCAATTTTCTATTGTCAGACCAATTGTTGGCACCAGTAGCTCTGTTAAAATTGGCAAGCCATTCAGCAGGATCTTCAGTAGCTTTTCCATAGAATGGTTCGATTGGAAATACATATGTTTCTGATTTTATGAATTGGGCAGTTTCTTTAAATCCATCGGTTACTTTTTTAAGGAGCTCTTTTAATTGGTCTCCTGTTAAAGCCATATTTGATTCAGTAGTGTTTGAAGAGGTCAAAGGTAGTGTAGTTCCTGAAGTACTAGTAAAAGGTTGAAGTGTATTTGTAAGTGCCGAAATAGAAGTAGGTATCTGGGGTTTATGTTGTAGTCGCTTATGCTTATCAATTTGTTTCTGGAAATAGTTTATAATAGAATCTCTAACTTCTTAAAATCTTCTAGGAATTTTAGAATATACTATGCTAAAAATTAAATTTGTTGTAGCAGTAAGTATGTTTGTACGTTCTTCTCCCCAAAGCTCAGTGACTAATTTGTCAGCGTATTTAATGGTTTTACTTGAATAGGATTTGGCAGAATAACTAGCATACCAAATCCAAAATAATTTAAAATATTCAGCAGGTTGTAGAGGTGGAGTATAATAAAAGCTACAGTAATTTTTTTGTTCAGTAATAGTATTTGAAAGGTGATATTTTTGTTCGTGTTGTCTTGTTTCATATTGATATTTCTCCAATAGTTCAGTATATATAGTCATGAACTTTTTAGTTTGGAACTTTCCAATCTCTCTTTACTTTCTTTGGGATATTAAAGAAATTTTGACCATTGTCAATTAAGATGTTGTCTCAGATCCAACATGATGTTTAATTTGGTTCAAATGGTCTTTTACACAGTTTAAATCCTTGAGGGTATAGGTAATTTCGTAGTTAGGATCTTTTTCTTGTCTTTCTAATTCTCGGTTGACAATTTCCTCTACTACTTTATCTTTAAGTTCAATTGCTTTTTCTACGCAGATATTTTTTGCTTTTGCTTTCATAAATATAAAAAGAACAAGGGAAAGCTATTGTCACACCAATATGTGGACAAGGGTCTGAAGAATAACTAATATTCTTTAACTAAACTAACTTAAACTATTCAAATAATTCTCAGAATTTCTCAAGGATCACTAAGATCAACTCAATTCAATTATTTAATAGTGAATTCGAATGAATATTACAAGGTGAGTTCTTTATTGTGTGGGGTTTTAGCACATCAAATCAGCTTGTTCGCTTAATAAGATGTATATGCTAAAGAGTGTTTATACAAGATTTACTCAGGTTTTATTAAGAATTACGTAACAAATTAACAAATTAAAGATTTAATGGGGATATTTAATATGATATAACTTTATTAATAAATATAATGATAAATATAAAGATAAAATATAATATAAAATAGAAATTATAAAAGTAAAGGTAAATATTAAAGGATTAAATAATATATTAATTAGAAGAAACAACTCTGTTCTAGTTTCTTAAACTATTGAGAACTATAAAACTTCCTGAACTTCCTTCTTCCCAGGTCAGAGAAGACTCATATTTATATTCCTTTGATCTGCTGCGTGTAATGATCTATCAAATTAATGATTTATCAATTTTAGCAAGAGGTAATCAACCTGGTGATCCACCTGTTACATGCAACAAGTAATTTACCTAGGTGATTCACCTGGTAATCAACCTGGTAAGCCACCTGTTACATGATCTTTGATTAACATAAATTACAAATAAATAATAAATACATTAAATAATAATATAATAATAATAAATAAAATTAATATTCTACAACATCATCAATATCCTCAGGTTTATTTTTTCATTTTTTTCTAGCTTTTTCCAAAGGTGAAGAGATTGAAGACGAAAAAAATAATTCTTGTACATCCTCCTCTGCTTCAATTTCAATTTCTTTATTTATTATTTTAGTCTATGTTTTATTTAATTAGTATTTTTCAGAATTATTCGAAATGAAAATAGCACTGTGAAAAATTTACAATATTTTTTTTAAGAAGAAAATTAATTATTTCTTCTGACACACTGATTTCTCCATTATCGGGGTTCAATAATACTTCAGCAATTGATATTGTCCAAGTGGTATGCAAGTTGGATGCTTCCGTTTTCAGCTAAACTTTTTCTATTACTTGCGTCATATAGGTTGGGGAGTTTTCATCATTATTAATATTTTTAAAAAGACTATTGTAAGCTTTAAAAATAGTCGGGTGACTTTTCCACAAGGAGATTTCATCTGCTTTCGCTTTGTTTTTTATTTCAGGTAAACAAAAAATATAAAAAATTGCCTTTTTTTATACGGGTTGATAGTGTTCCACGTTTACTTCGTAATTTTACGGTTAACTATAACATTATACATTGAGATTA